GTGATGGCTATGTCGTACGTTGACCTTACTTCGTATCTCACAGCATTGGATCCGACGAAAATGACCCATCGACTATCGTGCACGGGTCACATTCAGCCATTTCATCAGATAATTGCGCATTCTGTAATAACCGAGGTCATTCCATAGGACAATGCCGCAAGCTTCTGTCCTTGATCAAATCATGTGTTACCGGAAAATTGCAGACTGCGGGCGGTGATCGAAACGATCGCAAACCTTACTACCGCCGCATTGACAAAACCGGCCCACGCAACGATACAAGAGGCTATAGAAAATCGAACAACAATGATAAGTACAACAAACCCTACTCTGATCGTGGCCGTAATACACAAAAAATGATAGAGACAGCAGCAACGACCGCTATCAACGCCGATATCATGACAACCGCGAAGATTACTACCGACCGGAATATCAAGAAGATAGAAACAGACAACTCAACTACGGAAACAACGACAGATACTCACATGACAACCAGTGCTCTCAAGACCGAGATAGCACCTATCGATCTCAAGACAACCGACGCCATACAAGGGACGGCAGAAAAGACAAAGCAATGTCAGCGCAATTCAATGACTTTCCTCGTTCTGACAGACGAATTGCGTTTTCGGCTATAGACCCTACAGTTGCACAATAAGGATGTGAACGATCGACCAAATAGGGATCCTGAACGTGGATACTGACTAGCTTGTGACAGTTGCGCTACCATCCATGTATTCCCATACAAGTATCATCAGCATTACCTCATCCACAAGATGTGCGTCAATGACCGGTACGCACTTGAAGTGGCAAATGGAACCATCATTTATCCTAAGTATGTGGCACAACTGGGAGATTTGGGAGATGTACTCATAGACACTACCTTCAAAACAGCCCTACTAAGCGTCAGCCTGCTCTCAGCTCTACTCTATTCATTTGAGTTTACCAACAGTATGTTGTATATATTGTTGCCTAACTTCAAAACAATAACAGTGCTTGAAAAACACAGAATATATTGTGTGCACATCGACGATATAACTGGGGCTACAGCCAAACCAACACTGGAGATGGCCAACAAAATCACATGGCACAACAGACTAGCGCATACTAGCTACATTCCAAAACATCTGCCATACATCAGACAGCCCGAAGATCGATGTAAAGCATGCACCATAGCCAAAAAGAAGAACAAGAATACCAACAAGGAAAGACAACATGAACCTGCAGCTGAAACTCTTGAGCTAATCTACATTGACATCATCGGCCCGTTTACAGCATCAATCGGCTCCAACACACATGCTGTTTCGATCATAGATGACTATTCCAATATGGCTAAGGTATATCCTGTGGGCGATCTGAAAGCAACAACAATCCTTGACGCTATGTTACACATTTTCGGTGAATGGTACATACTATCACAATGTCGAGTTCAGTGTATAC